CGTTTTCCTGAAATGTTTTTTTGATGTGTCTAGATCCAGTCTTGACTGAAATCCCTGATCAGCCATAACATTCACAGGGCCAATCAATCAATATTTCTCTTTTTTTAAAAATCTTTATTGGTTTAAAATCAACACATACACACAAAGAACATTTGGGGGGGAAACAAAGAAGAAAACAAAAATAAAACAGACAAAGAAATAGCAAAATTACACAAAAGAAAATATATATATTACATCTTTTACAAACAAAGATATGTAACTATCAATATTTCTCAACCTAATCTCAGGTTGTTGTGAGGATAGGGGGCAGGAGAGAACCACATATGCCTCCCTAAACTCCTTTGGGGAAAATAAAATTAAAAGGAATAAATGTACATGGGAATGTGTCAGCATCTAACAAGGCTGTCCCTACTGCTAGCAGAGTGAGGCAGCTTTAAGTGGCAGATCCTAGGAGGCAAGGAGAGGTGGCAACATCTTGGAAGAAAGATAGGCCTTTCCTTAAGAATGGGATCAGCATATGTATATGCAACCCTCTTCCCATACTGTTTTCACTCATCCTTGCATTTTTCTTCACATTTTACCCAAACATGTGCATTTTTGTACACATTACTTCACTGGGGAACTGCATTGCAAAATTCAAAGAAATGTGAATTTTGAGAGAAGGTTGCATTTCAGTTTGCATATTGTTTCAGGGAGTGTGGGTTAGATATGCAATACACTCATGAGAAGCTTATGTTTCATCTGTACAAACCATTAGGACCTGTTTTGTGTCAAGGGTAGGAGTGGTTTCTACCTGTACTCCCTCCCAAACTAAGCAGAAGGCCAATGGCTAGGGGATATCTGCTTGGGTCTGAAAAGCTAGCTAAGGGTAATTGAAGGTGGTTTTCTTGAGGTCAGGCTTGCTGGTGCTAAATAAAAACACCCTCAGAAATTTCCAAATTCAGAGTTTTAAAACACTCAATCTTCTAAAGCATTTCAAAGGCTAGATAGCAAAATCCTACTTTCTTTTTAGTTGCCTCTGGGCTCCACAGAGGAAAGGGGAGAGAGAGAGGAAAAATTCACATTGCATTATTCCAGGGATCATAATTTCTCTCTTCCATCTTCAGCAGATTTGTAAGTAGAGTGGAAATACATCCCCAAGTCTTAGCTATATTTTCCACCTCTGGACAGATTGCAACCCTCCCTCTTTCCTTGCAGGTGCAATATGTTCCATATCACACCTGGCTCCATGGAAAATGAAGCTGAGGGAGAGCATTAATATGCTGCTGACCCTTCCTCTCATTTTCAGACGAGGAGAGAAATCAATGAGAAAGTGCCAGAAGAACTCTGTGATGCACTTATGTTCAGGCAGGGCTAAATCCTTCCACCTTATCCTTGGCTGACAGGCCAAGTCACTAAAGCCAGTAGAGGGGCTAGTCAGTTTGAAGTGACAAAGGCAGCTAAGCCGATAGCACCATATGATCCATTACTTTGAAGATGGCCACACCAGGGATCAATCTAGGGGACTTCAGATTTTAAAGCACAGGGACTGAGAGGTTGAGTTAAGGAACTAAGCTTCTTTGCGTGAGTTTGATCAGATTCGTTTAGGCCATATTCACACCATACATTTAAAGTGATTCAACAGTCAAACCCCTCTTCTCAGGGAATGCTAGGACCTGTAGCTCTGGGAGGTGAAGAAAGGCCTACTAACAATTCACAGCACCATTAACAATCTACGGTTCCAAAAATTCTTGCGAATCCATGACCGGTTAAAGTGGTATCACAGCACTTTAAATGTCTTGATCCAAGTCTGCGCTATGCAGGAACAAAACAGAATTCAAGATGTTTAGCCCTTGAAAGTACCTCGCTTCTGGCGAGTAGAACACACACACAAACTACAAACACAAACACAAGATTCCACTACGAAGGCAAATCTTAAATGAAAATATTACAGAGTTTTTGTTGAGGTCTCTGGATTATATCTTGTTTCATTAGTATGTCAAAAGCGACATGGGGACTTTCTCATGGTTGGCAGCTGAAAATAGGCCCCTGGTATGTTCCAGAATGTGTTGTCTGATTTGAATCATCCAAAGTCACTTAGCCAGCAGAACTTCTTCAACAGGGTGTATTGCTCTCCAGAAGCTTCAACACTTAAATCAACAGGGCTGCTGCACAGCTGCTTGTGCAGTAGTGCAGATGGTTGACTCATGCCAATTGTTGCATTGATACAGAGGTGCTTTGTGCTCTGCTAAAGACAGCAGAAATGAAAAGGTAGTCAGAGAAATGATAGCCCAAGTAATTGCATTCCCAGGGAGGGAGATGAGAACACACAAGGAGAAATATGTTCAGTGGACAATATGGGATAAACCACTTTGATGGGGGGTCAGGAGCAGGTAACCAAGGGACACAGGAAGCTGCTGTACATGGAGTCAGGCCAATGGTGTTGTCAAGGCGGACTGGGAGTAGCTCTCCAGGGGTCCCTTCCTAGCCCTACCTGGAGATGCCAGGGATTGAACCAAGGATCATCTGTGTGCAAAGCAAATGCTCTACCACTGACCTATGGCCCTTCTCATAGAATCATAGAATTGTAGAGTTGGAGGAGACATCAAGAGTCATCTAGTCCAACCCCCTGCAATGAAAGAATCTTCTGCCCACAGCCATCACTGGGTGGGATCGAGCTGCCAAACTTTTGGTTAACAGCCAGATGTATTGACCCATTGAGCTCAGACAAACATCTATCCATCAGGATTTATCCATCCTGTAGCCTGATAGACTGGCTGCCATCTCCAATTCCTCGAAAGATTCCATCAACAGTGTCTCCGAAAAATTATACACATCACTTGGGAAGACGGGTGAACTAATACTGGAAGAAGCAAAGCGCACCAGTGTTGAAACAATGACTCTTCAACATCAACTTCGTTGGACTGGTCGTGTTGTGCGGATGCCTGATTATCATCTTCCAAAGCAACTACTCTATTCTGAACTTAAAAATGGAAAGAGTAATGCTGGTGGTCAACAAAAGAGGTTTAAAGACTGTCTCAAGGCAAATCTTTAAAAATGTAGTATAAACACTGACAACTGGGAAACACTGGCCTGCGAGCGCTCCAGTTGGAGAACAGCCTTTACCGAAGGTGTCATGGGCTTTGAAGACACTCGAACTCAGGACGCAAGGGAGAAACGTGCTAGGAGGAAGGCATGCTTGGCAAATCCACACCCTGATCAGCTCCCGCCTGGAAACCAATGTCCCCACTGTGGAAGGACGTGTGGATCCAGAATTGGCCTCCACAGTCACTTATGGACTTACTGTTAAGACTGTGTTCATGGAAGACAATCTTATTTGGCTACGAGTGATCGCCAAAGAAGAAGAAGAAGAGACTGGCTGCTGATAGATTACTATTGAAGGGGGAGCCTGATGAAGCTGATCTTTCAGCAGAACATATCTGTTTATTTGTTCTGTTTGCATTTAACATGCATTTCCTTGTTTAAACATACAAATAGGGGTGGGGGGTGATAATAATTGTAACCATATCAGGTGCAGAAGGTAATTTTCCTTCCCCTGCTGTGCTCCTGATAAAAACACACCTCTGAGGAATGTATTTGCATCAGGATGAAATCATTCATTGGAGCTAATGGAAAGAATTAAGCTTCCACATTTGAGGACAGGGATTACTGGAAATATGCAATAGCTTTCCTAATTGTAGTTTGAAATCTACTGGACTCATAAATAAAATGTACTATCTATATTAATTGTATGTCCACATATACAATAATATTTTGCAACTTTTCACGTGTGGTACTTTTATTATGTAACTTTCATAGCTGAACAAGTTGCTTGACATCAATACAGGGTGTGTATGCATGTATATATTTTCACATCACTCATGCCACTAGGGGTGACTGAATGTCTCTGCCAAATATCCTTGCAGACAGACAAGAGGGGTATTCAAGCAGGAAACAAATTGCTTATCTGAAAAGCAACAGCAAGTTAAATCTCGTGCCACAAATGAAAGAAAGGCAAATGCAGGGGGGGGCGGGGGAGAAGGATTCTTCCTGAGTGTCTTCTTTTGATGCCATAAAGCTTCAAATGCGCCAACAGCAGTTTGAGAAGGTGGTTCTCAAAATGAAGAGCCAGAAATGGAGGAAGAAGGAGAGGGCTGATTACAAAAAGAAAAGTAAATGTGGGTAATTGAAGAGGGATGTGGTCTGAAATCTCAGCTCTATTATTTAGTGGATGCAGATGAAATGAAATCAATCAAACCGAAAGCTTGAATTAAAGCCCACTTCGATTTGTTCAAAGGACATTTTTGCAGCTGCAGCCAAGAGGCATTATGGGAAGGGAGCGACGCTAAACTCTTGCTGTTTGGAATTTCTTCTCATTCACCATTTCTCTGGAGGAAACGGGGCTGACAGAGAACCCAGATGAGAAAGGGGGTGGGGGGGAGAGGAGGAGGTCACAGTCTATCTCACCAGTTGCAAGGCATCATAGGCTGGCCTCAGACCATACAGCGAAGTCTTTCAAAATTCTGTTGCATCTTTATTATTATTCTCTCCCATTGCCTTTCCCTCCCCAGCTCATCCACCCCCTTCTCTTTTTTTGTTTCTTGCAAGAACGCATGAGATTAATTTCCTTGGATCCCTTCTTTGCTCACGTTTGAGAAATTTCCTATTAAGCACTCTGCATAGCATGTGCATTTTGCTGCCACTCTGCAGCCGACCTCCCTTGGCTTTCACAGCAGCTGTGCTGTCTAGATACCTTTTTCCAAGTCAAGGCACTTGCATACATTGTCTCTTTTTTATCGTAGTTTATGGAACATCTGCTGTTTCTGAATTATTTCCTTTGAATGCTATAATCTTTTTAGTTCTGTGCTCCAATAAGCAACTTTGAGCAGCTAGAAATTGCAGTAAGCATCATTCTCAGCTGGTTCTTCCTACAAACTCCATCTGACAACAAAACAAGCCATTTTCCTCCAGTGTCGAATACTCTGCAGAATGATGCTATCCCCGATTTACACTGGTTTGGGATGTGATCACTCCAAATTCCCCTGCTGTCATTGAAGTCTGAATATATGGCACTATAGTAAATCTATGCCATTAGAGCTACATACTTGCGCAGTCAGAAGCCAGTGCCATGGGATTGACAAATCTGTCAGTTTCAGTTTCTCTCTATGTCTCATTTTATCAGTCTTAAATTCAGTTAATCCCACTTCTACATCAATTTGCAATCTTTAAAAATAAGTCCTCATAAAGAGTTGTACTAATTGGGGGGGGGGCATTTATCTTAATATACACACATTTACAATCATTTTCCCTGTTATAATGCATTTTTGTACATTATTTTCACAAATTTATGCATTTTGGTGCATAATTTCCCCCTATGAAAGCTTTTTGTGCACTTTTTTTTGTTGGGAGGGAAGAGGAGTAGCACTTTTTGTAAAGGATGTGTACACTTGAGAAGAGATCCATGACCTGCAGCATGGACGCATACAAGACTTGTGCATAATGCCTTCCTAGGGCAGATTACCAAACATTCAAAAAGGAAGGATATAGTAGTCATGAAGGAAGAGTATACACAAGTGGCTAACAGTTGCATGGAGAAGGTCAGACGCGCCAAAACTCAGAATGAGCTCAGGCTTACAAGAGAGGTTAATAATCAGAATCAGAATCATAATATATTTTCAAAGCAAGAGGAAGAGCAAGCAAGTAGTAAGTCCTCTGTGTGGAGAAGACAAATAAATGCTACTGAGTGACACAGAGAGGGTGGAACTGCACAACACCTACTTTACCTCTGTCTTCAGCCAAACAGAAAGTAGTGCCCAACCTGGTGATAGCAAAATAAATGATGCAAGTGGGGGACTGAAGTCCAAGACAGGGAAAGAAATGGTAAGGGAACACCTAGTTACTTTCAATGCATTCAAATCTCCAGTACCTGGTGAACTGCACCCAAAGGAGCTTGCAGGTCTAATCTCAGAGCCTCTGTGTATAGTCTTTGAGAATTCTCAGAGAACAGGTGAGGTCCCTGAAGACTAGAGGGCAAATATTGTCCCCTTCTTTTCCTAACCAGAAACCTTTGTGTTTCACTTAAGCTGTGAGATAAATCTGGGTAATAACCGGACTTACCTTTTCCAGAATGGGAATCATCCACTGCTGCTTTGTCCCAGCATCCTAGCAGCAAGAGGTGAGCCTATGCAGGGGAAGGCTTTGGGTTTATTCATCATCACAGTTTGTCAGATGTGTTCATGCAGCATATCCATACAAACATTTGCGCATAGAATAAATTTTTGTCTTTGTTGTTATCAAAAGTTCTCCTGCGTAAATAATGAAAGTCAATGAAGTGTTCTATTTTTATTTTATTTATTAAGCCAATGTCTTATATCCAGATATCAAAGCATACTTGCCTAGTGCGCCTTATTATTTATGACTTCTTTGATGGTTCAGTTTTGTTGTTTTTCAAAGATGAAGGAAAGACGCTAACTAAGCCTTTGGGGAGTCTTGAATCTTCCCGTTACTTATTAAAAAGAGATAATTGTAAAAAGACAGTGAAATCAATATGAGATTATCAGTGCCAACAATCCAGGCACTGAATCACCTTGATATAAATCACTCCTTGCATCACCTTGTTAGCCAGCTTATAGGTAAACCGATGATCTATGATGAATATTAGTTTTGTGAAACATTAGCAAGCCAAAATAACATATCAGTACATAAATAAATAGAGAGACTAAGTTTTCATCTAATTCTAAGGTAAGCTCATACTTTGCACAGCTGCTGATGGTCATATAACAAAGGTTACTTTGTGATGCTGTTGCCCCCCACCCCACCCCCACCCCCCAAAAAATCAATCACCATTTGGGACTCTGTTTGAAAAAAGCATTATATACAAGAAAACATAAATCCATGTAATGGAAATTCTTTTGTGTGGTGCCAAGGGAAGACACAGTGGTGGTTTTAATAATTTGCTTGAGTAATGTATTCTGATGATCAGGATATATTTCTTAAATGATCATTAATATCTACAACATACATTCATTTCATTTGTTCGTTCGTTTTATTTTAAGCTGCTTTTCCACACAATAAAATCATGCTCAAAGCGGCTTACAACAAAGAAATAGGGATGCATTTCAAACAAACACTGCAGAAACAATTTCATAATAACATAGCAAAACAGTAGCAAATATAATAGTATACAAAAAAGCACATTCCAATAGTACAATAAGATTACTTAAACAACATGCAGCATCCACGAGCAAAAATAACAAGCTGTGGTTTATGTAGCCAGAATGGCACCACCCAGGTACAAGATGGAGTTGTCAACCAGGCTTGGTGGAAACTAAGGTTTGCATAAATATAAAAGATCTTGGAGGTGGGGGAACCTTAAGAGGGGAAACATCCAAAACCTTCCCAACAAGGATTGAGCATGCTGAGTAGTCACAGAATGCTCACTGCCTGTTGAGATGGAAGATGGAGAAAACATATAGAGGAGTAACGAAATGGAGTGTTTGGAATCCTGAGCATCAGCACTCCACACTGTGGAGTGAAATAATTGAAATACTTGCAAACTGCTTAGAT